AGTATAAAAAGTTGTTTTTGTCAAGAAAAAAATGAATAGGGCCAACCAAGGCCTAAATCCGTCTTAGTTCTCAAGTGACAACATCCTTTACAAATCTTACATCTTCATATATCTTGTGTCCAACAATTCAACTAAACAACTCAAACAAAATACAAGACGTTTGGAAACTTATAAGTAAGATTGGATTGTGTTTGGTGTATATAATTTTATGTACATAATAATGTCCATACACTCACATACATAAAATTATGTACAAGTAAACATTATCCAACAAGATTTTACTCGTCCCTCTTTTTTTAAAATAAATATTTTCCATTAGACAACGGAACGAGTCTCAATTTTATGTCTAAAAAGTGTAAAGTTTTATACTTTTCTTTTTTACTTTAACAATTTGCAACTCTTTCTCGGCACAATATCATTGGTGTTGTAAATAATAATCATATTAGTGAATGACGACTGTATCCCGTAGTTCTAGTTTTTATTACTATTATATCCATAATTCTTTCATATAAATATACGGCTCTGATTTTCAATAAAATACATACAAATTGACTTCTCAAGTTTTTTCTTCTCTCTTTTTTATAGCACATTATCAGCATGATCATTTCAAAATCAAAGTGAATCAGTTAAAATGTAATAAGTTTCATAAGCATAATCATCAATCATGTGTACTGAAATCAATTTGGTGACATATGAATTTTATTCATATCGGATTCATTATAATATTCTGACAAAATCAACTATGCAGAAATCAATTCATGCCTCTTTAATTTAATTCATACGCATCAATTTTGCCTCTTGATTCCGCCACAATCAATTAACGTGTCAAGATGATGCCTTTATTTACAAATCAAGAGATTGCCGCATCAAAAGGGAAAGAAAAGGCATAAATGCTCCCAAATTATTTCATAGGAAAAGAAACTTGTATCCACACAACTGAAATGTAGGGATTGTATCTTGGGTCCCATTCATTCACATCTCACCTACACAATAAGTATCCACTTTTGCTTCCATTCATTCACATCTCACCTGAAAATAAGTATCCACTTTTGCTGCTTAAACCATTGTGGAGCGTCCATTTAATTTCATAAGATGTCTCTGTCTAAGTCACATTCTCAGTTTTACACTGCTTGTCTTTGTAGCCATGTCCATTTTTTTATGCAGTCGATATAACCTTATATTAATGTTATTATATTGTCAAAAATTTGTAATTATCACTTGTGCATATGCACACATCATGTCACACAAATTGATCTTATAAACATTGTTGACATCCGAATTCCGATCTAATAAAAACAGTTCACTAACCCCACTTCAGTTAAATGTGAGTTCGGTCCTTACTTCCAGGTTGGACAATCCTGCCGTTATCACAGAAAAATATCATGATTACCCCCCGTCACATCACCCTATTAAGCAAATATACTTGCCAGAGGTGACATCATCACCGCCCGGAACAACTAATCCTAAGTCCTCAACCTCCAGCCCCTTGCAGGTCATCATTACCTGGGGAAAAACATTGACACATGGCCACCGGCCTCATCGACCAATCACAAGAGAATTCGGCAACCCGAGTTCCGAGCTTGTTACTGTTGCTGATTTGACTGATTTGATGTAATGTCGGCTGAAATTATGTATAAATAGTTGAATAGGACTCTTGTAAAGGGCAAGTGATTTTAGACAACAACTCAATGCATAATTACACTCTCTTAACATATTTTGTGGTCTTTTTTCAATAATAAATTGCCATTTTTTCTTAAAGTTGGCTTAAGATTAGCCTTGTTAATTTTGACGTCAACAGTTTGGTGCTAGAAGGAGGACCCTAATTGTGAAAAATAGTCACATTCTCTCCACAAAATCCGAGAGCCATGAGTCGTAGCTCAAGTTCCAGAAATCCATTTCACACCCACCCTCATGAAACAAATACACCACCAAGTTCTCCACGACGGCAGGACCCTCAAACGATCGCCATGAGAGAAACCTGTACCAGCCATCAACGCAACTTCCCGGGAGTGCACTAGGCAAATGTATGGGAATCCGAGCTCATTCCACTAGACCCGCGGACCAGGATCGAAGGAGGAGAACCCGTCGAAGAACTAGAAGGAGTTCAAGTCTGTGCCAAGGACCCAACAAAGGAGCTCAAAGTTAGGTGCGAGCTGCAACCATCCACCAGAAACGAAATTGTGGCCTTCCTTAGACAAAACTTTGAAGTCTTCGCCTAGAACCATGGGGATATAAGAGGAATAGACCCCAACATCGCATGCCACAAATTATAGGTGGATTCTTCAGTTCAGCCAAAGCAACAAAAACGATGACCTCTGAACCCTGAAAGATATGAAGCACTCAACAAGAAGGTGCAAAAACTGTTGCATAACGGTTTCCTCCGTAAGGCCAAATACCTGAAGTTGGTCGCAAATTCGGGCCTTGTGAAAAAACACAACGGAGATTGGAGGGTATGTATAGACTTCACCGACCTCAACAAAGCATGCCCAAAAGACAGTTTTCCTTTGCCAAGAATAGATCAAATGGTGGACGCCACTGCCGGACACAAACTACTTAGCTTCATGGACGCGAATTCCGGATATAACCAGATACCGATGTACGGCCCAAATCAAGAGCATACCTCATTTGTAACTGACCGAGGTCTTTACTGCTACAGAGTAATGCCATTTGGTCTCAAAAACACTGGTGCGACCTACCAACGACTAGTGAATTCCATGTTTTCCCAACAGGTCGAAAAAACGATGAAAATGTATGTTGACGATATGCTAGTTAAAAGCATCAAGGCCAAGGATCACTATCAGCACCTGACTGAGATGTTTGATATACTGAGAAAGTATGGAATGAAGTTGAACCCAAGGAAATGTGCTTTCGGGGTCAGCTCTGGAAGATTCATAGGTTACATTGTGAACAACCGAGGAATCAAGGCAAATCTTGAAAAAATACAAGCTGTCATCCAAATGAGGCCTCCAACTAAACTTAGAGAGGTACAAAGTTTAACCGGAAGGATTGCCGTCCTCAGCCAGTTCGTCTCCAAGTCTACGGACCGTTGCAAACCCTTCTTTGACACGTTACGAGGAGGAAAGAAGTTTGAATGGACCAAATAATGCCAGGATGCCTTTAACGAGCTAAAGCGTCAACTAGCTCAGCCTCCGTTGCTTTCAAAACCTAAGGCTCGCGAGGTCTTGAAGCTTTATTTATCTGTTTCAGAACACGCCATTTTTGCAGTTCTAACCCGAGAAGAGAACGGTGTTCAACACCCAGTCTATTACGTAAGCAAGGTGCTTCATGAAGTCGAGCTTAGATATTCACTTGTAGAGAATTTGGCATTCACCCTGCTGATGGCCGCGTGAAAACTAAGGCCATATTTATTGGAACATCCCATTGAGGTCCTCACCAACTCTCCATTAAGGTAAACACTACAAAGACCCGACACTTCAGGTCGGATGGTAAAATGGGCAGTCGAGCTCGGACAACTCGACATCAAATACATGCCACGTTCCTCCATCAAGGGCCAAGCTAGCTGACTTTGTCTCTGAGTTCTGCAACGTCCCAATTGAGGAACTACAAGAAGAAACCCCGTGGAGACTTTATGTCGACGGTTCATCCACCGAAGAATGATCTGGGGCAGGTGTTGTATTAATCAGCCGTAAACATCGCATATTCTGCGAAGTCTTGCCATTTAACTTTAAAGCCTCAAATAATGAGGTAGAGTACAAAGCTCTCATTGTGGGCACAAGGATGGCCTCAGGATTGGGGATCGGCGACCTGATCAGACACAGCGACTCTCAACTAGTCGTAAATCAAGTCATTGTCGATCTAAAGTTGTACGTGTTACCCTTAGTGGACATTCCTCCTAAGGAATCTTACAAATCCCTGTTACATACGCAGGACGATCTAAGACTGTTCGTGTTACCCTTAGTGGACATTCCTTCTAAAGAATCTTACAAAGCCTTACTCCATACGCAGGCCGATCTAAGGTCGTANCAGGTCGATCTAATGCTGTACGTGTTACCCTTAGTG